TGTCGGCATAACGTGAGCTTCTATATATTTACTATGAGCATCAACAATGATTAATATCATTTTACCTTCATATGGACCTGCAAAATCTATGTGCAGTCGGAACTACGGCTGGTTAGGCCATTCCCAAGCATGTAATGGTGCTTTAGTTGGGGATTTCGTAGAATCCTGGCATGCTGTACAACTGCGAACTCTGTCATCAATTTCAGCATCTAACCCTGGCCACCATAGGTAATTTCGGGCCAAAGCTTTCATGCGCACTATACCAGGATGACTTCATGAAGTTCCTCTAAGATAGCTTCACGAGCCCGAGCTGGAATTATTACCCGCGACCCCCACAAAATACATCCTTGCTGAACTGAGAGCTCTTGTTTGCGTCTAAAATACGGTCGCAGTTGTTCCTCCACCTGCTCAGGCCAACCTTGGGTTACCCACTTTAAGATGTGTGATAATACTGGATCTCTTGCTGTCCAGTTTGCTACAAGCTCAGCCGTTACTGGTGATCCATCTAGTGTTGATAATGTAAGAACCACCTCTTCAGGGACAGGTACACTGCCGGGTTGTTCCTTTATGGGTAAGCGACTTAATCCATCTGCATTTCCCATATTAGATCCTGGTTTATACTCTAACTGGTATTGATAATTGGCTAGTGTAAGTGCCCAACGCTGAATTCTGGCACTTGCCAACTGTGATATAGCTTTATCTTCCTTTAACAGACCAAGTAATGGCTTATGATCTGTTTTGATGCTAAATTCACGCCCATATAGGTACTTATGAAATTTGGTAACACCAAACACAATTGCTAGTCCTTCACGTTCTATCTGGGCATATCGCTTCTCTGCAGGTGCTAGTGTGCGAGAGGCAAAAGCTATGGGATGTTCCATTCCATTTGGTATTCTATGGGAAAGTACTGCTCCAATGCCATATGGAGAAGCATCACAATCCAAGGTTAGTTTCAAACCACTATCATAGTGTACTAACAGTTGAGACGACTGTAATAGTTCCTTTGATTTGCTGAATGCTTCCTGCTGACTTTTCCCCCACTGCCACTTGGTGTTCTGTTGTCCAAGTTGATACAGTGGTGCCAAAACAGTGCTAAGATTCTTCAAGAACCTATGATTGTAATTTAAGAGACCTAAATAACTTTTAAGCTCTTCTCTGTTCTGAGGCGCTGGAGCTTTCTGTATGGCTGCCACCTTTTCTTCTGTAGGACGAATACCAGTAGCATCAATGCAATGTCCTAGGTAAGTGACTGATGGTTTCTTAAACACACACTTGTCTCGTTTTAGTTTGAGTCCAGCTTTGTCTAAGCGATCCAAAACTTCATCTAAATTCTTTTCATGCTCTTTTTCGGTAAGTCCAGAAACCAGTATATCATCGATATAAACTTCTGTCATTGATATGCCTTGGACTGTCCATGGTTCTCTGGAAAATTCCTGGTGCTGCTGATACACCGTAGAGTAAACGTGTGTAAGCATATATACCTTTGTTAGTATTGATGGCTGTCAAATTCTGTGACTCCTCATCCAATAGCAATTGCTGATAAGCATGACTCAAATCTAACTTAGTGAAGAATTTACCCCCAGCAAGCTTTGCATACAAATCTTCAACATTGGGTATTGGGTATCTGTCAACACATAAGGCTTTGTTTAAAGTTTGTTTGTAGTCACCACATATGCGAACATCACCTGTCGCTTTAAGTACAGGTACAACTGGTGAAGCCCAATCTGAGTAAGATACAGGTCTAATGACTCCTTCCTTTTCTAAGCGATCAATCTCTTTATCTACTTTATCAAATGGTAGAGGGCAAATGGTACAGTACGTGCTTTCATATATCTCGGTGTTATCTCAGGATTAACATGCAGCTTGATGGTAGTGTCTTTCAGGGTTCCCAATCCTGGTTCGAACAATTTTGGATGTTTACTAATCCATGACTCTCCATCAAGATGAAAAACTTGTGGCCAGTCTAGTTTTATTATTTCTAACCAGTCTCTGCCTATCAAGTTTGGACCATTACCTGGTACAACCAATACTTTTAATTTATGTATGGTATCTGCTTCACGTGCCTCCAGTTCTGTCTGACCTAAGGGGTTAATGCAATTTCCTGCATATGTTCTCAATCTGGGTAGTCCCTCAGTGTGTAGTTGTAATGCTTGCTGACCAACTTTCAGTTTCTTAAACTGCTGCTCACTTATCAAACTTACTGCTGCCCCCGTATCAATTTCCATGGTTGTCGGTACCCCATTCAGTTGAAGGTTGTATCTATATGGCTGTGTTTTGGAAATACTTGATGCAGTTCTATACAGGTCAACGTTATATGTTTCCTGCCCATATGAGTAGACTGTGGTTGGTTCAGTAGAAATAAAATTATTTTCTGTTCTCCCTTGTGACTTGCAATATTTAGCAAAATGATTCTGCTTATGACATTTTCTGCATTCTTTTCCCCAAGCTGGACATTTCTCCTTTTTGTCATGAGGCCATTTACCACCACAACCCCAGCATGACTGTTTTTTATCACCATTACCAGGCCCCCTAGGCTTGTGTAATTTCTTCGGTTTGTAATGGGTCATTCTGTGTACTGTGGGTACATTGCTAGGTGCTTCAGCCCCTGCATTGACTGTAGACATATTATGTGCCTGAACTGTAGTGGCTTCTAGTGAACGACCATATTTCAATAAATCATCAAGGGAAAAATTCAGCTCTCTTAATCCTTTTTCTCTTATTTTCGGATTTATGCATTTCTGTATAATCTGAGATTTTATTTCTTTCTCTTTCTCATGAAATTCACAGTTCTTGGCTAGTTGTCGTAATCTAGCAGCAAATTTATCAAGTGTTTCTGTTTGTAACTGACTTGCCTGGCGAAACACATACACTTCATACTCTACATTTCGTTTTGGCGCGAAGTACTCACTCAGTTTTGTCTTCAACTGGACGTACGTTTCGTCTTCCGCCTGCTCCAATCCTAGGTGAATTTCAAAAACTTCTTCCCCCGCTAGGTGAAGTAGGAGAGCTCTTTTCCTCGCATCCTGTGTAATATTCTTGGCTACAAGATAATTATCGAATCTTGCTATCCACCTTTCCCAGCGCACTGTAGCTGTCTCTGGCGGAATTGGGTTGAACGGTTTCAAAGCATCGTTGCCGTCCATTGTGACGCTGATTTGTTTTGTCTTCAAAACAGGCTCAAAAGTAATTTGTACTCACTTCACTTGTTCTGACGGTTTTCTGTACGTCAAAGTTACTCCTCGTCGCCAAATTGTTGGGTTCTTGGGTGCAGTGAAGGCCGTAACAGGCTAAAGAATACAAGTTCGGTATAAACAACACAACTAGTTTATTACAGTAATGGCGGCGTTCTGATTACGCATGTGCAGATGACGTAATAAAGTACATGTCATTAAATACAACCCAAGCTCAATATACTACATCCCTCCCCATCTAAGTGAATCTCACTCTAGCAGTCTATATGGGGATTTAATATATAATGTTCTTTTCTGGATCAGTTCATTCTGCATGCACTTGTACTGAATACTGCAAAACTCAACTAAACTACAATGTGGGTGGCGCTAGGCTCACACCCTAGTGCAGGCTTTATTCTGGCCTATCATATGCACTATTTCAAAATGTAACTAAACATACATATCATATTTATCTGGAAATTTTCTCTGACGACTAGATCTACGCACTTCTGGTACCGAGGCAGAAGTTTCTGAAGATTGTTCATTTATAGGATCTGTTGTCTCATCTTTCAATGTAGTAGATTTGTTAGTAGTTGGAGGTAATACATTCTCTGATGAATGTTCTTCCGGTTTCAATGATGACGAATCCTGTTTAGGAACTGGCACTGATGGCGAGATAGAAGGCATCCATATTGGTACAGGTACCATATTCGATTTACTCTGAGTTTGGTCACTTTGCGTAATTTCCTCTGATGGCGATCTAGATCTAAGCTGATCTTGATGTCTTTTCCAAACTCTTCCATCCTGAAGTCTAACTAGGAATGTTAGTGATCCCCACTTCTCTTCAATTATTCCAGGTATCCATTTTGGTTTTCCCGCATAATTCATAGCAAATACCGAATCCCCAAGGAAGTAGGTGTAATCCCTTGTTTTTGTATCGTAATTCTCTTTCATCTTTCCCTGGTTATGCAATACTCGTGTCTGAAGTGATGGTTGCACAAGATCAAGTCTTGATCTTGGATGTCTATGCATAAATAATGCTGCAGGAATCTGTCCTGTGGTAGTCTGTGGCGTGATTCTGTATCTTGCCAAAAACCGATACAATCTGGACTCTAAACATCCTGAAGACTTTCTGAGACCTCCCTTGACTGTTTGTAAAGCTCTTTCAGCTAACCCGTTACTGGCAGGATGGTAAGGAGCTGTTGTGATGTGCTTTATCCCATTTGTTTTACAAAAGGATCTAAACTCTTCGCTGGTGAAACAAGTACCATTATCCGATACTATCACGTGCGGTAGACCATGCGTAGCAAATGTTTGGTACAATTTGTTGATTGTTGCTGTGGATGTTGCTGTCGGCATAACGTGAGCTTCTATATATTTACTATGAGCATCAACAATGATTAATATCATTTTACCTTCATATGGACCTGCAAAATCTATGTGCAGTCGGAACCACGGCTGGTTAGGCCATTCCCAAGCATGTAATGGTGCTTTAGTTGGGGATTTCGTAGAATCCTGGCATGCTGTACAACTGCAAACTCTGTCATCAATTTCAGCATCTAACCCTTGCCACCATAGGTAATTTCGGGCCAAAGCTTTCATGCGCACTATACCAGGATGACCTTCATGAAGTTCCTCTAAGATAGCTTCACGAGCCCGAGCTGGAATTATTACCCGCGACCCCCACAAAATACATCCTTGCTGAACTGAGAGTTCTTGTTTGCGTCTAAAATACGGTCGCAGTTGTTCCTCCACCTGCTCAGGCCAACCTTGGGTTACCCACTTTAAGATGTGTGATAATACTGGATCTCTTGCTGTCCAGTTTGCTACAAGCTCAGCCGTTACTGGTGATCCATCTAGTGTTGATAATGTAAGAACCATCTCTTCAGGGACAGGTACACTGCCTGGTTGTTCCTTTATGGGTAAGCGACTTAATCCATCTGCATTTCCCATATTAGATCCTGGTTTATACTCTAACTGGTATTGATAATTGGCTAGTGTGAGTGTCCATCGCTGCATTCTGGCACTTGCCAACTGTGATATAGCTTTATCTTGCTTTAACAGACCAAGTAATGGCTTATGATCTGTTTTGATGCTAAATTCACGCCCATATAGGTACTTATGAAATTTGGTAACACCAAACACAATTGCTAGTCCTTCACGTTCTATCTGGGCATATCGCTTCTCTGCAGGTGCTAGTGTGCGAGAGGCAAAAGCTATGGGCTGTTCCATTCCATTTGGCATTCTATGGGAAAGACTGCTCCAATGCCATATGGAGAAGCATCACAATCCAAGGTTAGTTTCAAACCACTATCATAGTGTACTAACAGTTGAGACGACTGTAATAGTTCCTTTGATTTGCTGAATGCTTCCTGCTGACTTTTCCCCCACTGCCACTTGGTGTTCTGTTGTCCAAGTTGATACAGTGGTGCCAAAACAGTGCTAAGATTCTTCAAGAACCTATGATAGTAATTTAAGAGACCTAAATAACTTTTAAGCTCTTCTCTGTTCTGAGGCGCTGGAGCTTTCTGTATGGCTGCCACCTTTTCTTCTGTAGGACGAATACCAGTAGCATCAATGCAATGTCCTAGATAAGTGACTGATGGTTTCTTAAACACACACTTGTCTCGTTTTAGTTTGAGTCCAGCTTTGTCTAAGCGATCCAAAACTTCATCTAAATTCTTTTCATGCTCTTTTTCGGTAAGTCCAGAAAGCAGTATATCATCGATATAAACTGCTGTCATTGATATGCCTTGGACTGTCTGTTCCATGGTTCTCTGGAAAATACCTGGTGCTGCTGATATACCGTAGGGTAAACGTGTGTATGCATATATACCTTTGTTAGTATTGATGGCTGTCAAGTTCTGTGACTCCTCATCCAATAGCAATTGCTGATAAGCATGACTCAAATCTAACTTAGTGAAGAATTTACCCCCAGCAAGCTTTGCATACAAATCTTCAACATTGGGTATTGGGTATCTGTCAACACATAAGGCTTTGTTTAAAGTTTGTTTGTAGTCATCACCTGTCGCTTTAAGTGCAGGTACAACTGGTGAAGCCCAATCTGAGTAAGATACAGGTCTAATGACTCCTTCCTTTTCTAAGCGATCAATCTCTTTATCTACTTTATCTCGGAGGGCAAATGGTACAGTACGTGCTTTCATATATCTCGGTGTTATCTCAGGATTAACATGCAGCTTGATGGTAGTGTCTTTCAGGGTTCCCAATCCTGGTTCGAACAATTTTGGATGTTTACTAATCCATGACTCTCCATCAAGATGAAAAACTTGTGGCCAGTCTAGTTTTATTATTTCTAACCAGTCTCTGCCTATCAAGTTTGGACCATTACCTGGTACAACCAATACTTTTAATTTATGTATGGTATCTGCTTCACGTGCCTCCAGTTCTGTCTGACCTAAGGGGTTAATGCAATTTCCTGCATATGTTCTCAATCTGGGTAGTCCCTCAGTGTGTAGTTGTAATGCTTGCTGACCAACTTTCAGTTTCTTAAACTGCTGCTCACTTATCAAACTTACTGCTGCCCCCGTATCAATTTCCATGGTTGTCGGTACCCCATTCAGTTGAAGGTTGTATCTATATGGCTGTGTTTTGGAAATACTTGATGCAGTTCTATACAGGTCAACGTTATATGTTTCCTGCCCATATGAGTAGACTGTGGTTGGTTCAGTAGAAATAAAATTATTTTCTGTTCTCCCTTGTGACTTGCAATATTTAGCAAAATGATTCTGCTTATGACATTTTCTGCATTCTTTTCCCCAAGCTGGACATTTCTCCTTTTTGTCATGAGGCCATTTACCACCACAACCCCAGCATGACTGTTTTTTATCACCATTACCAGGCCCCCTAGGCTTGTGTAATTTCTTCAGTTTGTAATGGGTCATTCTGTGTACTGTGGGTACATTGCTAGGTGCTTCAGCCCCTGCATTGACTGTAGACATATTATGTGCCTGAGCTGTAGTGGCTTTTAGTAACGACCATATTTCAATAAATCATCAAGGGAAAAATTCAGCTCTCTTAATCCTTTTTCTCTTATTTTCGGATTTATGCATTTCTGTATAATCTGAGATTTTATTTCTCTCTCTTTCTCATGAAATTCACAGTTCTTGGCTAGCTGTCGTAATCTAGCAGCAAATTTATCAAGTGTTTCTGATGGTAACCGACTTGCCTGGCGAAACACATACACTTCATACTCTACATTTCGTTTTGGCGCGAAGTACTCACTCAGTTTTGTCTTCAACTGTGCGTACGTTTCGTCTTCCGCCTGCTCCAATCCGAGGTGAATTTCAAAAACTTCTTCCCCCGCTAGGTGAAGTAGGAGAGCTCTTTTCCTCGCATCCTGTGTAATATTCTTGGATACAAGATAATTATCGAATCTTGCTATCCACCTTTCCCAGCGCGCTGTAGCTGTCTCTGGCGGAATTGGGTTGAACGGTTTCAAAGCATCGTTGCCGTCCATTGTGACGCTGATTTGTTTTGTCTTCAAAGCAGGCTCAAAAGTAATTTGTACTCACTTCACTTGTTCTGACGGTTTTCTGCACGTCAAAGTTAATCCTCGTCGCCAAATTGTTGGGTTCTTGGGTGCAGTGAAGGCCGTAACAGGCTAAAGAATACAAGCTCGGTATAAACAACACAACTGGTTTATTACGGTAATGGCGGCGTTCAGACTACGCATGTGCAGATAACGTAATAAAGTACATGTCATTAAATACGACCCAAGCTCAATATACTACACTGACCATTCTCGTAAACGGTAGCTC